CTTTGGATTTCTTGCCCTGGAATGACCTTGTTTGCTTCCTCTCCTGTTTGCTTATCATTAACTTCCTCATCTGAACTTCGGTGAGTCATCTTTGTTTGACTCCATCCCTTCTTCGGGTTATGTTTATAGAAGGGATCTATTTTCAACGAAGGGCTTTTACCGTAACATGGTCACTCGCCTCCTCTGTGTGTGTTTGTTTCTCTGGCGGGTGTTGCTGGGCTGTTGAGGATCGACTTGGGAAACCTGCTGGAGGATATTTTTGTTTTGGGACTGAGGTCATTTTTGCTTGCTTACGGCGAAGGTCTTCTGCATTTCCGTACATCGTTGACCGTAACTAATTCGGAATCCATTATATTGAACTGGTATGAGAAGATTCTCAGTGCATTCTCCTTCACCCGTAGTCGCACACACTTACCGCCTCCCCCCCCCCCCCTCTCCCTCTTCATCCAACACTGATTGACTGACTAGGCACTAATCCTAATAGATTACGGCGGAAGAAACGTGCCTCTGCGAGTGTTTGAATGAGAATCGCCGTCCGCTTTCGGCCTGGGTATTCTTGGATGTTAACCGGATTATCACCGGCTTAATACATGTTGTGAAGGGATTACCTGGTGGCGGCCGGTGGAGATAATCCCAGGGTCCCAATGCCTCCGGGGAGCTGCAGGTCACACACGCCCCAGTAATAACGGACGCTGGGTCGCTGTGGAAAGGGCACGCACAGACGAGGTCTATATAAGTACTTGCGCGCAGAAGGACGGGGTCGAGGAGATTAAATCGTCGCTTTGAGTTTTGCTTCTGCTTCTCCTGCTGCTTGTGCGCCGGGGATGTCGAAATCTCAGCGCCTCGGGCAGGAAGTTAATTCACGTCTGCGTTAATTAAGGAAGTTTGATTAAAGTTCGGGTTCCTGTGACGTGTGCGTTTCGGGGTGGGTGGCGGGTGGGTGGATGGGCGTACGCGTTTGTACATTTGTGCGTGTCTCTTAGGAAAGGTGATGTTTAGATTCCTTTGCATCAACAACAAAGAGTCAAGGTATGTGTGGGTATGTGTGTGCGTGTGCGAGTACGTGTACGTGTGGGCGTGCGTTCGTGCGTGTATTAGCAGGAAAGGATATTTGCTTGCTGGGGGTGTTCGTGATATGGCGAGGCAGCCGGGCGCACGTGTGTGGATGACCCTTTCCCCTTCTGTGTCCCTCCCCTTTCCTTTCTCTTCACCCTTCGCGTCTCATGTTTTATTCCCAACTTAACACCCTTCCCCGTCGCCCTCGCTCAACTCTCTCCCTCCCTCTCTCTCTCTCTCTCTCTCTCTCTCTCTCTCTCTCTCTCTCTCTCTCTCTCTCTCTCTCTCTCTCTCTCTCTCTCTCTCTCTCTCTCCCTCTCCCTCTCCCTCTCTCTCTCCTCCCTCTTCCTCTCCCTCTCTCTCTCACCTCTCCTCACCACACACGCAGGAAGATACCGTGGTGATGCAATGTAACCGCACCACACTCTGAGGGTCTCTTGTTCCTCCCTCTTCGGCATAACCTTGGCGTGGAGCAAGCCTCTCCGTTGCCATCACGTTCTGATGTAAGTGTATACGACAGATTATAATGACGAATCCCTTTTTCGCTATCGAGGATCCGCTGGCGCATACCTGGGATTCATAGCATGGTGGTAATGCTGTTGTTTTTGTGTTAGAGATGATGTACGGTACACCTTGAGACTACGTGAGAGCCATTTTGATATTTTGTCCCTTTTTAATTACATCTCTCTCTCTCTCTCTCTCTCTCTCTCTCTCTCTCTCTCTCTATCTATCTCTTTCTCGTTCTCTTTATCTTTCTCTCTTTCTCTCTTACTGTCTCTATTCTTTCCTCTTCCCCTCTTTCTCTTTTCCTCTCCCCCCTTTTTTGTCTTAATGCATCTTTCTCTTTCTTGCGCGCGCGCGCATTCTCATAGTATCGTTCAAATTGCACGCTGTTTTAATCCTTGATCCGCCGGCTGCCTCAGCTGTTTGGAATGTGTGTTTAACCTTCTGTTGGACAGTGATACGCTTTGTAGGGTTCCGTGTGTCTTAAAATATCCCTGCGTTATTGGATTGCAGAAACAATCCTCCTAACAGCGTTTTGTTTTATTTCATTGAGTAAATGTTTTTGCCCCCGTTTTCCTATCGCGCAGATGATCAAAGACGTTTCCTGTAAGAGGAATGGGACTATCAGATAAGATATCTATCCATTGCAGTTTCTGTAAAAAACGCCTTTTCGTTAAAAATCAATAAAGGAAGTGGCACAGTTCTTAATAAGTAAAAAATGTCGAGTGTGACGTGTGCTTTATATGAAGTTCGCGTGAGTTGCGACGAAATTAAGCCCAGTCACGTGCCGCCATGATGAACACTTGAACACGCGCTGGAGTGTGCGTAAGTTGGTGTATCCTTACAATGCATATGTGTCACTGTACACTCTCCTCTAGGATGACGCTTCCAATAGCAACTTAGCTGTGTAGGTTCTGCCTTTATGATGTACTGTGTAACTTTAGCTTGTTACTCTGTTCCGCCGGACGTTGGACAAGAGATCAACTGTTATGGCACGGCGCTGTGGTAGCAACATGTGTGTTTGCATAATACTTGAATAATGGCTGTTGTAGATGAATTAGAATCGGGGTGGAAATTAAGGAAAATATGATTATACGACACATGATCAGGTTACGCTGCATCGGGTCTCCTGTTGGATGTCAGAAGGAATTAGATTAATTTTGTGATTTAGTGTTAGGTCTATTTTTTTCAGTCTGAGAGTCTGGGAAATGTTTGAAGTTGCACGGGCGTAAACCAGCGCTCGCCTCTGTTTAGTGGATGAACAGTAGAGTGATCACAACGATTAAATTTACTTTTAATGAGTGGCACAGCACGTTACTGTGATTTATAGTCGCGGTTGATATTTAATGTGTTTTTGAGTGATTTATGCTAATGGGCTAAACTATAAACAATTGTAAAAAACGACGCACTCGAAATTAACGTGTTAACCTAGGAAGCAACTGCTGCTGGGGGAGAGGCTGTGCGGCACAGGTAAGCTAACGGAACATCTGCGCGTAGTTAACCCCGACTGGGTGTCTCTCTCTCACGCCGTCGCCTCGTTGCGACAGTACGGGAGGGGGAAGGGGGCAGGCTGCAAGAGGTAGAATAGTGAATGTTGTAGCCATAAACTAATCGACGTGACGCTAGCTAGTTTTAACATCGCAAGAGGTGAGCGGGGGAAGGCAAATGAAAGAAAATGGCGGTCACATTACACTGCTTAAGGAAATAAACACGATAAAAGTTGAGAGTGCGGTTGGAAATCACTATTGCACACTGCGTGGTTGTAAAGCTCGTTCATAATGCCTCTACCCATGATAATGCATAATTCTGAGCACATTTCATTTATTCTTATCTTTCCCTGTTTAAGGAATGTCTCGAGTTTCCAGATAATTTATGCAAAAAAGTAAACAACAACTTCGAGTATGATTCATAAAAGTGGCATCATATAGAAGCTTTTCAGTAGTCATTCGTGTCATGATCTCTTCATCGCGGCAATTACCCATTATTTGTCCCGCGCCAGTTCGTCATTAGATGACATACAGCCAATAAACATTTTAAGGGAACTTAAAATTATCATCTTCCACTTAAGTCATTTCCTTTGATGATTAGTGATAGATAAGAGACTGTCAACGCCGTCTAATCTAATATTGAATCTTTCTGTCCCTCCTGTACTTTATTGATTACCCGATGTCGGTGAGCGGGAAGACACTAGGCCTATGTCGCTCGCTCCTGCTGTTCGTCATCGTGAATGTGTCTTGTTTTCGTACATTATTGACACCATTACCTGCTCACAACGTAAAGGTATACTAGCTGTTTACCGACGAGGCTAGATATCCCGAACAAACAGCGCCTTTGCTAGATGTGATTGACGTACCCGGTGTCCTACGCCCGGCAGCGTTATGGACCTGAGCTGGATTGAGATTGGTCTCGTGATGAGAGTCCGCAGCATCCCAAATGTAAGGAGAAAAGTACGCCGTTGCTGTGTAGGAAATTACACGCTATTGTCCTGTGCATTTTTACCCACACAAATGCAAAATGACCATTGTTCATCGTGCGATTGTCGTGGGCTGTGTTTATGCTACACCTCCCCAGTTCCGCGTCGAGGGAGGGTGTCCTGAGCGCGGTACGACAGTTGAACCATCAGGGGGAAACAGCGTCGTGTGTTATTGGTCATGTTCCAATGTAACAATATAGTTACGACTACTGAGACTGTGGTGTGACGTTGAATTTTACCCTAGGATTACCTCTCGTGCACCGTGGATTATATAGTGGAGTATGGTATTAGCTGTGACCGAGAGAAGTAGTCTGTGTTCTGAGCGTGGAGTCTGACGGCATTTGGAACTATGGTAAGTTTCGATTTTTCGTGGCGATTTTGCGAGCATGTGGCTGTGTTTCCTAGCAGTGGCAGTGTGTTGGAAAGGTGGAAATGCCTTTTGGAGGTCATGGTGTTTCGTCGTTGCCCAGCAAAAAGTTGTTAAAGCGGGTAACGTTGTCCGTACGTTCACGTTTATGTTTGTTTTGGGGCGAAGACGAAACACGCATTTAATGCAATGAGTTTGAAGCAATGTGAAGATGCGTGTTGTGAGATTGTTGTACAGGGCGTAATTACTCTTTACCCGATCACAAGCAGTGTTTCACTGTCGAGGTCACAGGATGTGACATCACCCGACCCCTATACATGTTTAGCAATACAATATAATTTAGGGTTATGCACGTTAAAACGAGCAGATGACATGCCTGTCAGTAATTACAGGTAATTATGTCAAGTCCAGGTCTGCGGGTGTAGCGTTTCACCTTATGTTTCATTTTGTTTTATGCATAGTGTATGAAACCTCCCAGAAAAAAAACTTTAAACAAAAGTTTCATGATAAGATGGTCTTTAGACGTATTTTCCTTTTCAGTGTCCCAGCCCAAGTACTATCTTCACCTTGAAAGTAAACATGCTTTGTTTTCCCCCCCAGCAGAACTCTGAATTGAGTGGATGCTGTCGGTCACCTGTCGAGCGGAGGTCAAGCCCCACGGGTTCCATCGCCTCCACTCAGAGCCAGTCGCAGTTGACGCCCTCCCGCCAACTCAGCGACGGCGAGCGACTCAAGAAGGTCATCCTGGAGCTTATCGACACGGAAAGGAGTTACGTCAAGGTATGTAAACATCAGCTGGCGATTTTCCGTGATTGTGTACCGCGGAACGTCTTCAGCAGATGTTACTCCCTCTCATTTTCCCCCTTGACGCTGGCCAGTAGGACACCCGGCAGCTTGTGGATAAAGTCATTACGTTCAGTTTAATCGACGGGTGATTATAACGAATAACTTATGAGGATTAACTCGGTGATCGTTAAAGCGCGAATGTGATCTGTGTAGTCTCGTCCTCCACCCACGCCGCACGAGCTGTCGATGTTGCTTCCTTAAAGTATTCACGAGCCAAGTTGAATAGTTTTTTTGCAACATATGCAAAGTAATCGCTGCTATAACTTTCCCCTCTCCTTGTTGAATATTATTTTCGTGCTGTGCTTAAGGGTCTTGTGGATCGTGATTAGTGATTATTTCTATTCGTTTTTTATTTCCTTTCTAACATTTTTCCGTCATTCGAAAAGTGAAGAATCCCACGAGTATTTCTCGTTGCTGTTTATGTGCGTGTGAATATGTTGGTTGATATTGTGATTAATGTATATGTGTGTGCATGTTTGTTTGTTTTTCACTGTATTGGGAGTAACTATAGCGCACATTTTCATGCACTTTACGTAAATAACCCAAGTAGATTTCCGTTAATTAGCCTGGTTCAGTGCGAGGATTCCAGATTTGCAGCAGAGGCGGCGATGAGTAGCAAGGGGTAGCACACATACTCTCTCCCTTATTGATTTTCTCTTTTCCTCTGTCTTCTCCGTCTCCTCCCTTTCCGTATCTTCTTTCATTACTCCCTTTTGAGAATGTTTTCCTTCCCTTTGTTTTTCTCCGTTCTCCTTTCATCGTTTCCTCCTCCTCCTCCTTTAATGTTTTCGTTTGTTTTGATTTGATTTCATCTGTTCAAGTTTCTTTCTTGGTCTTTCCCTCATGGTGGTTTCGTTTTACTATACTTTATCGTTTTTTTCTCTCTCTTCTGTTATAACCTACCATTCTCAATCGTCTTCCTTTTTGTTATTCCTCTCAGTCTAATCGTCTCCTTCCTTTTCATTATTCCTCCCATTCGTAATTGTCTCCGTTTCCTATTTTCTTCTCGCGATACTCCTCTCCCACCGTTTTATCTCCTTGTTCTCCTCCGTTATATTTGTCCTTCCTCCTTCTTACAGTTATACTGAGCAGCGAACAATTTACTTCCCGCCTTCCAAGAAAAACGGTGTTGTTGTTTTTTTCTTCTTTCTTCATTATCATCATCAGAACGCAGAGATTGACCTTTGGTGACCTTGAACGACGTGCGACCTAAACCTTCATCACGTGACCCAGGAAAGAGAAGGTCGCCGCCGCACGTTGCTTTGTCATGGAGCGCTGGCAGTTTTGTGCATTTTATTTACCTAATAAATCTGCCGAGAGGATCGTTAAACTGGAGGCGAGGAAAAGCATTGTGGATACAAATGAGTGATAAAAGAAAGGGGACGGAGACTATCTTGGGCTGGTAAAGAGGGGATATGAGGGGGGGTGGGGCTTTTATCATCCCATTCAGATGATGTTACGGTTGTATAGTCGCGGTTTATTTGTCGTAGTGGGACTTTTTAGGGGGTTGTGAGCGGTACTCTCAGTCGTAGACAGGTGTTTCAATTGTATGTTTCTTTGACGAAGGTGATGTTCCATTAGTCATTGTTTTTTCATAGTTTTGTTTAGTAGAGATTTGTTCCTGTTGTTTAGGTTGGAAGTTTAAGGAAATCAATTTGAAGGATGAGCGTCAGCAGATTGATTCGAAAGGGTCTAACGCAGCGCATCAATTTCGTCGCAACTTCTTGACTTTTGCCCGGAGGACCTGCGTTGCCGGAAGCCATCTATTATAGCAACATTCCTGGGCAAGTAATAGTGTTGCACGAAACGCAATGATAGGGTTCTTTGCATCAATACTCCAACAGGATGGTTAGGAAAATAGCGGCTTACGGGAGACTGTAGTTTTACATTACTCTTGATGGAGAAGAAAGGAAAAGGCGGCCTGGTGTTTTGGTGTGGTATTTTAGGCCGCCTTACTGGATCACGCAGGTCAGCCTCCGGCGCCAAGGGGTCGCAGGGAAAGGTCATGCTCCCCCTTCCCTCCCTGCCGCTCGTCGCGATGCACTGTTATAAAATGCACGACAAAAGGTCGCAAGAATCACTTCGCTGTTTTTCCTCCTGGAAAATGAGAGTGAATAGATTACTTAATTGGCGCCCTTGATATCGCTTGTTAAAGGTTCATGGCAATCGCATTTTGGGAACAGCTTTAATTGCCCTCCGAGCCGTGATTCCCGGTGTCGTTACGGCCCAGAATCCCACGACCACGGAGGCGGCAGTCGACCGCGGCGCCGCCCCTGATAACCTCATAATCGGGCATCTTTGTGTGTGTAATTTAACCGTCCAAGTTTCAACTCCGCCTCCCCGAAGGGCATCTGCGTGACCTCGCCGCCAGCTTCCGGTCGCAGCGGCGGGAGACGGCGGGATTAAAAGGAGAAGCTGTGTGTGGGAAGAGGAGCGAGATGAAGAGGGGAAGGAGGCGGGAGGAGGAGGAGGAGAACGAGGAAGGAGACATATGAAGGAGGAGGCCGGGGAAATGAGGCTGAAGAAAAAGCCATCAAAGGATGAGAATGAGGCCTTGTGTAGGAGGAGGAGATGGAAGCTGTGAGTGTGGGTCGGGCAGGTGTCGTGGGGAGGGGAGGGGGCTGTAAGGGAGGAGGTGTAGGCATCGTGTAGGAGGCACAGGATGAGGGTAGACGACCAGTAGTTGATATTCGAGTAATAGAATATCCCATTTTCTTGGTATAGCAAGAGGAACGAGGCATAGGGACGGCCCCCCTCAAAAGAACAGGAGATCAGAGTTGATCTTGCTCATTAGTATTCGCGCGCCAGCATGTTTGTGTTCACAGAGAAGTTCCCGGCGAACAATAACCGAGATAGCCGCCTACAGAGCATTCTATCTATCGCAGAGACCCAATCAGGAGAGGGCAGGGGAAGGGCGGGCCCGGAGGACGCGACCCATCAGGACTGCGTCGGCCTCTCGATGAAGATTGATGTTGTGTGAACATGAAGTTTCTCTCGTCGCGCTAATGACATGAGTTGCGGCGAGGGAAATGACTCGATGACGCGCCGTTATCTTTTGGATGCTTTCAAACTGTAGCTGGCGTATTGCTTGTTTCCCATTTATGGCGCCAGATACAAATATGACTGGAAGAAAGCGGTTGTAGGGATTGCCTACAACGTATCTTTAAAGCATTCCATTCGCTTCACGAGTTGTCAGCTGCTCCTGTAAACAACGTCCGTAATCATGGCTTTAACTTTATTGTGTGTGAATATCAAGTAATTGCTATACAGTTAGACCAGGTCTCCGCGCCGCGAGTGGAGCGCATGGCAGGTGGTGGGTGTTCTAGCAAGGGTCACGCTCAGGAGGAGGGAAGAAGGGCGGAGAAAGGAACGGGGGGAGGAAAGGAGGAGAGGAGGGCGGAGGGAGGAAGGGAGCTAACCAACCAGTCGGCATCCTGTGCATGGCCTCTCGACCTCCTCTCGACGTCTTTTTGAACGTAGAAGATCTTTACTTGCCCTCGACGATTGCCTCATGGACCTTCCCGCCTCCAGGTTTCCCCGCCGTGATTCTCTGTTCACTACACGACTCATTTACCCTCGACCGCAGCACGCCGACACCTGCGTCGCCGGCCCTCAGGACCTCCCCTCCTCCACCGCCAAGAACCGCTTTCATTTTCTCATTCTCGTTTATTCCCTCGTTGCTCCTCGTTGATTTCCGTCCCTTCTCCTCCCGTTGCTCCTCTCCTGCATTTTCTCTCGAGAACCATTGACCCCTCGCCTCCACTCGCGCTTAACCTCGTACCATTTCCCAACAGCTTCTCCCCGAAGGCGGAAGTTGATAAGAGCCTACATCTTGAGGAGGCGGCGTACCCCGGATGAAGTGGGGTTTATCCTTTCGCTAAGTAAACGCCGACCGAGAAAGACGATTTCCCATGATCTAATGCGGCGTTAGATGCACTGATGGGGCCATAAAGACTCTTCTCTACAGCGAAGTATTTGTTGCTTATGTAGATTTGTGTAGGGGGAGGGCGGAGGGGGAGGGATGACCCAGTCGAGAATGAAGGGTTGTTTATGTGGCTGTTGAGGGATGGGGAGAAGCGGTTCACAACAGTAGCCCGTCGATGTAAATAATGCCTGTATCTTTTTCGGTAGGGATCTCGCCTGACTTTTTTCATTGTTGTAAAAGAGTGGTGTAGCTATTAGAGAAATAGTAAATAAGAGTTAATTTGGCAATAGAAATTGGCCGTTCCATTAGCTCCCGGCAGGATGCGTGGAAGAGAAAAACGAGTCGACTTTCCTGGTTTCAGATTGTGAATGTGCCGTATCTGCTTTCTCTAACCCTTCCCTTTTAGGATATTCCCCGTTCTCCCGTCGCCCTTTACCTCTTGCTCCCTTTTCCTTGTTCGTTTTTTTATATCCGTTTATTTTGTAGCCTCCTTGTCTGCCCTCATATTTGCTGAACGTTTTTTTATTTTCATTATTTAAACATCCTTCTCCTTTTCTTCCTCTTCTTTTGTATCACCTTATCTTCTCCATCTTTCCCTCCCTTTGAAAGAAGTTCGGCAACATGAGAGGACAATAAGATATTGCATATTGCACTCCCGGCGTCAGTGTCATGGAAGCGGGAAAGGAGAGGAGAGAGATTTAAAAGAAGAAAAAAATGAAGCTATTGACTTCCGGCGTGACGAGGTGCTAAAGAGGCTCCGTTACGAGCGTTATAAACGTTACCGAGACACCGCTAGTAATGCGGTTCGCCCTCCCCCCCTCTCCCGCCATGCCTCCGTTCGTCGCGAGGTTATGGCCGGCGCCGGCTTATCGGGAGCTGGGTTCGCGACGCTCCGATGCCGGGTTGCTGATCATCGGATTTCTGTCAAATGGGCCCGGTAACGCTGTGGGACATTCCCCGGGGACCCGCGTCACTCATTTGCATGCATTGTTATAACTTCCGCTTTAAT